TATCACATCAAAGTTTTAATATTATTAAAAAATAGTATTTACATATAAAAAAACCCAGCACAGTGGGGACGTTGCATAGCTGGACCCAGTATAGATTTAATCTGACAGTGATTAAAATTTATACCCAGATTAGTAATTCTTATAATTATATATAATATAATTTTTAAAATAAATTTTTTTTTAATTATTATTGATTTTGATTTTTAATATGTTAAAAAAACCAACTTTTTTAACTTAACTTTTGAAAATATTCCTGAAATACTGCGTCCTTTAAACATATGTTAAATTAAAGCTTATTTTATGTACTATAAAATTAAAAAAAAAATTTGTCACGACACTTCTCTTCTATGTGAAAATGGCTGTCAAAATTAAAAAAAAAATGTAATGTTTGCGATAAAAATCACCTTTTATCGGGATGTTTTTTGCACTTAATACTGCCTTAACTTGTTCACATATTAACAAATCAAAATAATATTTTTTTATATTGAAACCTTAGATATTTCCCTTTCATTTGATATCATTTATTTTTTAAATCTAACACTTATTTTACTCACAGGGGGGATTTAAAATAGCAACTTTTTTAACTTAACTTTTGAAAATATTCCGGAAATACTGCGTCCTTTAAACATATATCAAATTAAAGCTTAGTTTATGTAGTATAAAATTTAAAAAAATGACTCAAATGTTACCGATTCGGCAACTGTTTGTTGCTTTCGTCGCATGATAAAACTGGCTATTTAACCTACTAAAGTCAAAAATTTTATACAAACATTTAAACTCCATGGAGTATTTGTAATATTGACATCAAATTTAAATGTATTAANTCTATTTGAGTATTTTGAGTTATTATTTAAAAGTATTAATACAAATATTTAAAATGAAAACGATAATAGTGATGTATCAATAATATTTTGTATTAAACAAAAACAAATTTGATAAGTTAGTTTTAAGAGTAAAAAATCATAAGTAAAATATATGTATTGTTTTTGGAGCCAATGGAATAAAAAACATTTGTTGTCAGGCCAAATCAGAGTCTTTTTAAATCACAATAAGACTGCGAGAATTATTAAAATATATATTAATAAAAATTACTCCCTCCGTGATGAGTGATATTCTTATATTTTATGAACTTTATTCTTTGTCAATTAAATTATAAAATATTCATGAAAGTCAGTGTAATTCCCTTATAAGATATATTATAATATCTACTATATTATACTACTTATAATATTATAACTTCCATTAAAAGAATTTTTATAAGCTTCATTTATGTTTAAAAATAAAATTGTTTTATTACACTTCGT